ATGTAGGTCTACTACGATGACCTCTGCGCGGTGAACTCCCGTCGTCGAGTTCTCGCCCGCGTCGTGTGAAGCAGCCTTGCCTCTGCTCTGCTCTGTCGATGACGTGTGGGGTCCCCGACCAGCTGGTCCCACTGTCGCCAATGACAAGCAGATAGTGTAGGCTAAACCATTTTGAATCCAGTTTTTGATTGGTTTTGTTATTTTTGTATCTGCAGATTGGTAGCTCCAAAAATGTTGAAATAAATATGGTTGTGTTGCTTAGGAAGTGTAGTATTTTGGAAAAATATGTTCTTGGTTTCAACAGTAGAAATTTTTGGAGATTTAAATAGGGATTTCAAATGTGCTTTTGAATGCATTTAAATTTGTTTATTTTATATCTAGAGTTCCTGTGCTCCAAAAATTATGAAATTTTTGTGGTAGGCTATTATTAGCATACATGAGCTTGGATAAAAATTTTAGAACCAGTGCATGTGTAGATCTATAGTTATAGATTTTTCTTTTATAAATAGTTAATCCTTGCATGAATTTTTATAAATTAATTATGAGTCCAAAATTCATGAAATTTGTTGGAGGTGATACTAGTACCATATGGATGCTAAGAAAAATATGAAATCTGTTGTTTGACACTTTTCAATAGGATTTTCCATTTATGCTATTTCAAGCCTTGCTGCCTTGTCATTTTTGTATAGAATGTTCTACTTGGTAAAATGACATGAAATTTTTATAGTAGTCCTTTGATAGCATTATTAAGGCTCTGTAAATTTTTGAGAATTTATTAAGCACATCTAATATATATTGATTATTTAACATAGATATCTAAATAAAAATAATAAAGGCAATTTAATAAATAGTTTGGGCTTTACCATTATATCATCTTAACTGTATTTGGTATGCTTAAACTATTGGTAGGTTCTAGGTTGTCAAATTTTGAATGATTACCTGAAGTAGAAGTATTCTTACTTTATGTTGCATGTTAAGTCATTTCCGGACTGATTCTAGAGTGTGATGATTTGCATATTGAAACTGATGTGTACTGTAAAAATGGTTAATAACAAAGTTGTAGAGAATTGGATAAGCTTTCCAGAAAGTCCTAGATCACTAGATTTGGATTTGTAGAACTCAGTTATGAGCGAAACAAGTAGCTATTGTTTGTGGCATAGTCGATGCTTTGTAGAAGTAGTTAAGTAGTAAACGAGAAGAGATATGCACCTACTCAAACAACGTGGACGCACTTGTTAACATATATGCATTCATAATACTTATACCATACTCATGCATCTAGGATCGGAGGAAGAGATCACGTTTTTGGAATTGAAGAAGCGAGAGGAAGGGAACCCCAGGAGGATCCGCAAGCCGCAGCTCCGAAGGCGTGGGGCGAGAACCTCAAGAGCCCGAGTGCCCACGACCACCGTCCTACTTCCTTTCTGCGAGGCAAGCCCGGAGCATTATAAGTCTCCCGATAATTTACAAATGTTTACTTACGTATTTATGATTGATGCATTAGGTTATAAGAGTTGAATGAAACCACTTGATGCATGTACATTCCTTGTCCGGATATTACACCTTTAACCGGTATAGGTCCGAGGATCGAATATCTATATGCTTAGCCATGCTTAGACCGGTAGAAGTCGGGTGATGTCACATCACACGCGAGATATAGGTGGATACCGGAGAACACGGTTGGCTATATCTCGCTATCGTGGAATGAACCATGAGGTAAAAAGTAAATTGAGACCGGACGGAGATCGATAGGGAAGCAACAAGGCATGGAGGTCTTGGGTGTGGACTTATCCCGTCTGTGTCGATTAAGGACCATCACTGTTGTTGGCGCTTCGACAAGATTGAACGCATGCCTCTCACTTAGGTGGCCGGATAATTCGTCCGACCGCTGGCCGAGTAATTCAACTCGGGCCGGAATCGTTACATTAGCGCCCCTTAGGGACGATCGACGACCGAGCCCAAGGGCAGGTTTGGCTCGAGCATCCCGGCATCTGGTGTTCCAGACATGCTTGCGTGATCTGAACCCGCGAAATGTGTACTGAAGTTGTACCAAAGGTGACCTAAGACTATCGTGGTTTGGTAGATCTGGGTTTGTGTTAGGAATAAATTAAATTTGGTTGAAATCGATTCGAATCGCCGTCTCTCCCGGGATAGTGAGAAACTTGGCTAGTCCCAACATCGTAGTGACTATATTATGAAACATGGTGGTTCGAGATGAATATGGAATTACAATACCGCTATGGTTACTATTGGATGCTTCAATGATATCCCACATGTTTGGTACAGGATAGTTGCTAATCTAGAAATGGATAGTTATAACTAACTTGATAAAGGAATCATAATTGTACAACGGATCAATTGCCTTTTTCGCAAAATGTTGTCAAATTCGTCCACTTATACATGTACCTTGCATACTCCTTGGAGTCATTTTATTTCGGTTCATGATGGGTAAGTCTAGGTGAGTACCTTCTCGTACTCGGGGTTTATTTTTCCCAATGTTGCAGATGGCTTTGTGTATCATGGTTATTGCAAGAGTTGCTTCTATCCCCATTGTGGATGAGGAGTAAGCCTTGGGCGTGCTTCTTTAGTAATTCCTATCCTTGCTTTTGTGGACCGTGATCTATCTTGGCACTGTATCAGCTATGTTGGAAACGTTATTTTCGAACTTATTTGCTTCCGCTTTATTTATCAAACTCGGTTTGTAATAACTTTTATTCAGTACTACGATGATGAAAAGTATCCGTGAACTTTATGTAATATGTGGCATGTATGTTGAATCTGCATGCGATCTTGGTTGTTGTAAATCGTTTATCGAGACCCGTCGTGGTACTCGACGGACTACCGGGTTTATATGGGTTCAAGTATGACAGTGCGACCGCTTGCGGATTGCCATTGTACTTGTATTCTTATAAATTGGTCGGTTCTGCGACACAGCTAGCACTAGCAAGCAAGCAACGTTGCTGTTGCTGTAGCGAACAAGTGCCATGCCGCTATGCAAAATGGGCCGGCCCAAATTAGGTAGCTGTCTTGCTTTTTCTAGTGTCAATATGTCATGCACTTGAATATGAGCGTCAGTTTTTTTTTCTTTCAAAAATCCTACCGGTGTAGTGTCGTTCTATACTTACATGGATATAATGTCCTACGGCAAAAGCTTCTCTTCATTTCAACTTACACATCGAGCACCGGTCATCACCATACGACTATGACAGATCGGGTCTAAAAAAAACCCATGGGTTTACGGGTTTGGGAACTACAAACCCAGACCCACGCTTGCAAACCTGCTGGATCTGGCTTTTTACCCATTAATAAAACCATGAGTAGAAAAGTTGACCCGTACTCTTACCCTAATAGGGTAAAAACCCAATGGGTTTCGGGTTGCGGGTACCCGTTGCCATCTTTAAAGGGGTCTGTTTTGAGGGCTATTATTAAAGTTGCTCTAAGACAATCATAACAATCATCCCAGTGACTATGGCCTTTTGCGGTGACTATCAGCAACTTAGCAACCTTCTGTATCCTCTCTTTAAAAAGGTAGGCAAGAATAAAAATGTAAAGCAGCAGTGCATTGCCCGAGTAAAGAATAGAAGCTTTCGACTATACTCCATCTGTCTCAAAAGAATGTAATTATGGGTTGCGTGATAGTTAAAGTGGTTCACATTTGACCAAGTTTATAGTTAATGATATTCACATTAGTGCCTCCAAATCAGTTTATTATGAAAACACATTTCATAATTAATATAATGGTATTTATTTGATATCATAATAATTATTGATACTTTTAACCTATATAATTGGTCAAACTTAAGTCTGTGCTAGAATTGTTTTTTTTTTAACGGACGGAGTATTAAAAAAAGATAATAGCAGCTTTCATAGATGACAACCATTTCAGGCCCAGGCAGGCTCCCGAGCTAGGCCCCACCGGGCACCGGCCCAGGCTATGGACCAAGCATGCGAATTCTTAGCCCAGGCTCCAGGCCCACATGCACCTCAGCACCTGTACGAGAGTATTCCACCTCGCTCACATGAATGAACCCAGCCCATGCACCGCGGGGCGCGGGCCACACGTCCAGCCGCAGAGCACCGCCCCACCGCGGCCACGCTCGCCGCCTCATCCCGCCGCGTATAAGACCAAAAGAAAAAAGATGCATTGGTACTTGCCTACTTGGTCGTCGCGGCGTGGCATCGCCGTCGTACGGAGCCGGAGCCGCCACAACACAAGCCCACTCTCTCCGGTCTCCGCCGCACAAGAGCAGAAGAAGAAAGAAAACGCGGGTGCTCCGCGTAGCTGCGGAAACACGCCCCCCTGTTGTAGCCATCTGGTGCCTGGTGCCACCACAGAACGTTCGTTTTCCGTAAATCGACGTGCCGCTTAGCTATGGCTACTATATATCACTATACTAGCCCATCTCATGATTCGTGTTAGGTATACATACATGGTGTTAATGAGAAGTGAGGCAGCCATTCGTTGTTGACGGAGCAGCTTAGCTTCATTACTTAAACCGGGGAAAATGGCACGCATATATCGGCGTCGGGTACAAAATCGGATCATCATCGTCATCATCGAACCCCTAGCGCGATCAATGATTATTCGGTGATGCGCTCGGCTCACCAGTCACCTGTGCTATGAACCGGGTGTCCCCACTACGAACAATTGCTCCCGTCAATCCGGTAGGTGTAGGCGTAGGCGTAGGCGCCCCAAGGCGAGGATGGGAGGTCCGAGGGCTCGGCCGCTCGGCATCGCACAAGGACGGTGCACGTACGCGCCACGTCGGCACGTCCTTGGGCCCCGTCACACTTGTACTCTCCACCACTCTCCTATTTACTTGCCCCATCCATCCGGACATCCCACGCCGAGCGCCAGCAGCAGGCTAGCTCCCGCTCCGCCGCTCACTAGTCACTAGCTACTGGACCGCGCCTCCCTGGCTCCCTCCCTCCATCGCGCCGGCGCGCGCGGCTAGCTACCGGAGCCGCCCTTTCATGGTCCCCGCCGTGGTCGGGACGAGATGCCTCCGCTCGCATTCCTCCGCCGCTCCCTCCCCTCGAGGTTCATGCTCGCCTCCACAACTTCATCGCTTGATTGAAGGAATCGAGTTCCTCGAGTTTCCGCCAATGGTTTCGTCTATGGATTGGAGTTCCTGTGTGTGTCTGTTCGCGATCCTGAATTGTGTCTGTCTGTCTGTCTGTTTCATGGGCGAAGGCTTGTCGCGCGAGCGTGTGATGGTGGAGTCTGGGGGAGCCCGGGCGTGGCGCGGGACGAGGAGGCGGGAGGCAGCGGCGGAGGACTGAGCGGCCGGTCGGCGGGGGGTCCGTCCGGGGAGTGCTACGCGTGCACGCAGCCCGGGGTGCCGGCGTTCCACTCCACGACCTGCGACCAGGTGCACTCGCCGGACTGGGACGCCGACGCGGGGTCCTCGCTCGTGCCCGTCCAGGCGCAGCAGTCCCAGCCAGCGGCGCCGTCAGCCTCGGTGGCGGCGCAGCACGCGGGCGCCGCGGCGCGGTGGCTGTTCGGGCCCGTGCTGGACCCGCGGAGCAAGCGCGTGCAGCGCTGGAACCGCTGGATCCTGCTCGGCCGCGTCGCCGCGCTGGCGGTGGACCCGCTCTTCTTCTACGCGCTCTCCATCGGCCGCGCCGGCCAGCCCTGCCTCTACATGGACGCCGGCCTCGCCGCCGCGGTCACCGCGCTCCGGACCTGCGCCGACGTCGCCCACCTCGCGCACGTGCTCCTGCAGTTCCGCCTCGCCTACGTCTCCCGCGAGTCCCTCGTCGTCGGGTGCGGCAAGCTCGTCTGGGACGCCCGCGCCATCGCCGCGCACTACGCCCTCTCCGTCAAGGGCCTCTGCTTCGACCTCTTCGTCATCCTCCCCATCCCGCAGGTCAGCTGCCGAGTGCCGACACTGGCATCCACCGCCTGCCTCCCGAACTCAGTCTACCATCTTCTTCTCACTGAAAAAAAACACACGCAAATAAACGTTCCAAGCATACACCCAGACGCTGTAGCACTGTAGGTGAGGGTGAGATGGATCAAACGCCCCAAAATTATGGACATGCGTATTGTCCCGTTCTGAGACAGCGCACAACGCCCTTCAGTTCTTGTCGGAACCGCAGCGGCGGCGTGTAGGGCACACGAGTACGTTGCAGGTACAACAGTGTCCAGCAGTGAGCTGATGTGTAAAAAATATGCATGTTTCGGCCGCTGGACACTGGACAGTGATGCTGGGTAATGTGCAATGCTGGCATTGGCGCGCATGTGTGTGGTGGCAGGGAGGCTGCAGTTTCTTGAAAGATCATGACCCGCAGTGATTGCTGGGATGGAGAATTCAGGTCGGAATGTTTAGCGGTCATAGACGATAAGAGTCTGACGGGTTTACGGAACTAGTAGCACGGATCGATAATGGCGTAACGCAATGATTGGCGGCGGTAGTATTTGAATATGACCTTGGATGCAATCATTCATGCCAAGTGAAAAAAGAAACAGCATCAAGGTAGGACTAGATTTGAAAATGACCATAGTTACAATGAGGTAATAACCAGCATTGATGGAAGAAAACTGGATAGAAAACGATAGTTCAGTCACGCATATCAGCGAATTGCTCATGGTAGGGCGGCCCTTTTGGCATGGTAAGTGTGATATGACCCACGGACCAACCAGATATGAAATCGGATGTTCTCATTTCATATATGCCACTGCTCGAGACTTAAGACTAGACTCTAACGTGGCTTTTGTTCTAGGGACACAGGACACTCGTCTGATTTCTGTTCATGCCATTGGATTCTTTTTCCTAACTATTTACTCCTAGTAGTCTTTGTCGTTCAGAACTTCAGATGGTCAAGTAATTTCTTCAAGTGACAGCTAGTTTTTGTCGCGTAATATAAGAATGCATATTCGTTTTTGTTTCGCGTGATTGCACCTGTCAATTTTACGTGGGGCCTGGCTGCAAGGTGTGTGTGGACAGTGCTTATTTGGACCGGTTGGTCAATGATAGAAATTATTACTTATATCCTTTCCAAATCAATGGATGGGTTATTGATATTGTTTATCCTTGCAAAACGATTCAAGTTATTATTCTAAAGGGTCTATCTAACTGATTGATCAACGGTCGACATGTCTAGTTGTTTAGAGCTCAGACATTCCCACATGTTCCTTTTGTTATACAAGGGTTTCTAGCCACCCAGTTCCTTTCTCTACATTATTTTTCGATGCTTTGACTGCGCAGTGGCGGACCTAGGATTCAAAACCTGTAGTGCGAAGCTTATTGATTTTAAGTCAATTAACACAAGCATTACACAATCAACATATATACTTGAAATTTTGTGAAGGGGACTAACCGTATTTTGGCAAAAGCTGTGGGTCCAGCTTATTCATGTCTATTTATTTATCTTCAAAGAGAAAGAAGGGAGTCATCTCAATGTTAGTATCGATAAAAAAAATGGCAGGCACCAATTGAACAACAACTTTCTGAGAAAAAAAAGCAGGAATTGTATTGAGGGCTTTAATTATCACACATGCCAATCATCTGCATGAAGGACCTCGAAGATTAAATATAATAGTTTTCTTTACGTTTTTGTATGTTCTTGAGATTTCCTTTTATGTCAAGGTCCGCAAAGGAACATATAGATTTGATTTACTTTACTTTATAGCTTTTGTTTTCTCAACAAGGCGTTCCATCAAATTCTGCAGGTCATCTTCTGGCTGGTTATACCAAAGTTAATTAGGGAAGAGCAAGTTAAGCTTATCATGACAATACTGCTGCTCATGTTCATATTTCAATTTCTCCCCAAGGTCTACCATTGTATACACATCATGAGGAAAATGCAGAAGGTGACGGGTTACATCTTTGGATCAATATGGTGGGGATTTGGTTTAAATCTATTTGCCTATTTCATTGCTTCTCATGTGAGTATTCCCTTCCTCGTTACTTATAGATTAAATCGTGTGGACATGGAATCCCAGAGTCGCTCTCATAGGATCATAGAGTACATTGAGAGTGGTAATCATTGATTTCTGGTTGTTGGTGACTCAGTATTGTGAATTTTTGAGAGAGAGAGGGGGGGGGGCGGCGCAGGGGGCGGCGGGTACAACTGCTACATATATTTCAGTAGTACATCATAGTATTTAGGTGCACTAGATTCCACTTCTGTTTTTCCTACATTTGATTTTTCCAAAGTTGGTACCAATTTGTTGATTTCTCTAGCAAATATGAAGATAATTACTAAGATGATTTGTTCCTCTTTCTCAATGATCATAATGTTGCTGAACATGGAAACTGGCCAAACAACTAAATATCAGAAGTGACTAAGAGACTGGATTTTTTTTTTTGACGGTCAAGGGGGGGACGGATCCCCACCTGATTATATTATATATATGATGGCCCAAAACGGCCCGCATGATAGATTACATTTTTGCTTAACACCACACAGCCAGTGGTGTCTTGGCTTTTACAAAAATAATCTGGGTTTTTGTCTAAATAAGAATTCTTGTCTGCAATTTTTTGGTTCGCCCTTCAACATGTGCATACTGAATAATCTGGGTAAATTATTCATCAGTGTTCTGCCATTTCCAGATTGCAGGTGGGTGCTGGTATGTTCTTGCAATACAGCGCATTGCTTCCTGCCTCCAGGAAGAATGCAAGAGAAACAACAGTTGCGATCTAATATCGCTAGCTTGTTCCAAGGAGATATGTTTTCCCCCTCCTTGGTCATCAAATGTTAATGGATTCGCATGTGACACGAACATGACCTCCTTTAGTCAACGAAACGTGTCTACTTGTTTAAGTGGAAAAGGGTCCTTTGCTTATGGAATCTATTTGGGGGCTCTTCCTGTTATATCGAGTAATTCGCTTGCTGTCAAAATACTCTATCCTATATTTTGGGGCCTCATGACACTCAGGTAATCACTTTTAGAGATTTAGTTTAATCTGTCTCCAAAACAGTGTCTGCTCTCTAGGAAACTATTGTCTTAATAATCTACTATATGACTATATTTTTCTTTCTTATACTGTTTATCTGAATAAACAAGACATCAAACTGATACCCCAGTTCCACTAAAAAAATTCTAGTCTTGTTCCATGCATGTATTTATTTACATATTTTTTTATTGCTGTTGCCGTATTATGTTCAACAACTGAATATTGGTAAACTTGTACAATTCCTTGCTTGGCAGTACTTTTGGTAACGATCTGGCCCCTACAAGCAATGGTATTGAGGTGATATTCAGCATAATCAATGTCCTCAGTGGCCTGATGCTCTTCACATTGCTGATCGGAAACATACAGGTAAAACAGTGCCATTTTTTGTACTTCTGTGTGATTGTATTGTATCACACCGCTTCACTAACTACAACTAACTGAATCTGCAGGTGTTTCTGCACGCTGTCCTGGCAAGGAAGAGGAAGATGCAGCTGCGGTTCCGGGACATGGAATGGTGGATGAGACGGAGGCAGCTGCCGTCCCGGCTGAGGCAAAGGGTCCGCAAATACGAGCGCGAACGCTGGGCCGCCATCACGGGAGACGAGGAGATGGAGATGATCAAGGACCTGCCTGAAGGACTCAGGCGGGACATCAAGCGCTACCTCTGCCTCGAGCTGGTTAAGCAGGTACAGTCTCTGCCTCTGAGAAGAGCCTTTCTTTAGTCAGTAAAGTAACTGAAGTTGTTGTGATTTTTCCTGACTTTTTTTTTTAAAAAAAAAGTGCAGTTTTTTTACATGAATCATGAATGTGCGATGAAATTGTTAAAAAAAATTGTCCCTTGCCAGGTTCCGCTGTTCCATGGCATGGACGACCTGATCCTGGACAACATCTGCGACCGGCTGCGGCCTCTGGTGTTCTCCAGCGGGGAGAAGGTGATCCGGGAGGGCGACCCCGTGCAGCGCATGGTGTTCATCCTGCAGGGCAAGCTCCGGAGCACGCAGCCGCTGACCAAGGGCGTGGTGGCGACGTGCATGCTGGGCGCGGGCAACTTCCTGGGCGACGAGCTGCTGTCGTGGTGCCTCCGCCGCCCCTTCGTGGACCGGCTCCCCGCGTCGTCGGCCACGTTCGAGTGCGTGGAGGCGGCGCAGGCGTTCTGCCTCGACGCGCCGGACCTGCAGTTCATCACCGAGCACTTCCGGTACAAGTTCGCCAACGAGAAGCTCAAGCGCACGGCGCGCTACTACTCGTCCAACTGGCGGACGTGGGCCGCCGTCAACATCCAGCTCGCGTGGCGCAGGTACAGGGCCCGGACGTCGACGACGGACCTGGCGGCGATGGCCGCGCCGCCGTTGGTTGGCGGGCCCGACGACGGGGACCGGCGGCTCAGACACTACGCGGCCATGTTCATGTCGCTCCGGCCGCATGACCACCTAGAGTGAGCAGGAGGGGGACCATCCTAGCTGTGCCGGCCGCGTCATGGTGACTGTACAGTGTACACTTGTAATATGTTGCTGTCATCTTCTGCGTAAGTGAATTAGTGGTTCGGAATTGTCGTTTAAAGGAGATCAATAATGGAGAAATAATTTCTTAGTCCGACTTGCCCCGTTCGCTTGAACTTATTAACTTGGCTTATTAGTCATGGTACAGTGTTTTTCTCTCATAATAAATCAGCGAACAATACTTTTCAGCATGGCTTTTCAACGAAGCGATCGAGTCTTTTCCCCCAAAAATCAAAATTATTTTTTCTGAGGAAAATCAAAAGTTTCACTTTTTTTAACAGCATCTTTGAGAGTTCCCTAAATCCCTTCATAATCCTTGGTTTTTATCAAGATGAGAAAAAATCCGTCTTCAACAACTCATAATCTATTCTCCTAATTTTTTTGAACTTGGGAAAAGTCACCATGTTTCGCGTAAAGTTACGCGCTTCCGAGTCACGCGTATCTTCTCTCCCACGCGTGTTTGTCGGGCAATCTAAAGGTGGAAGGGTGTGGAAAGAATAAATAGTAGAAAATAGTTCTTGATGCAAATATACAAGAGAGAAAGAATATATAAAAGTGGTTAGGATAATTTAAAAATAGTATAGGATTCCTCATATAAAATTATCTTCTATATTTTAGGAGTAAATTATTAGAAACTCTTGGAGATAGCCTTCTATATTCTTTCCAACACTTTTTTTAAAAGTCGTAAAACTTCATATTTTTAGAAAAAAAAAATATTGGATACCTAGGAAACACCAAAACTTTGTGTAGCGCAATGATTGGCGGCGTGGCGACTGGCGTGGGCTCAATCAGGTAGGCGGCCAGCGTCAGAATCCGGACTCCACATAACGGCCCATTAACAGCAAGGAACCGCGAAGCCCAAGGTCGTCTTCTTTCTTGGAAGAGCCTTTGCTCTTGTCTTGCCTTCGCTGGTTTGCTTTGCCTCTCGCGAACCCACACGAAGATGGCCGCGGCGATGGACGTCGACAGAGCCGGCGGCGGGGAGAGGCGGCCGTCGGAGAAGGAGCTCTTCCGCGCGGCGGAGTCCGGCGACGCCGCCGCGTTCGCCTCCCTCTCCCCCGCCTCCCTCTCCCTGCGCAACGAGGACGGCCGCTCCCTCCTCCACGTCGCCGCCGCAGCCGGCCATCCCCAGGCACGCAAATGGCCTTCTACTCTCTATTCGGGTGAAAACGGGGTTTAGGGTTTTTGACGGATCTGCGGTGTTTCCCTGGGTTTAGGTGGTGCTCGCGCTTGCGCAGTGCGGTGGTGACGCCGCGGCGAGCGTGCTGAACGCGAAGGATGAGGAGGGGTGGGCGCCGATCCATTCCGCGGCGAGCTCCGGCAACTCTCAAATCATCGACATCCTGCTTGAGCGAGGTACGAGACTAGCCCGATACGTATGGGCGGCGAACTGTACTATTTCTGCTACGGATTTCTAAGATTAGTTGGCGCAAAATTGGTAGTACATGACGGGATTGATGTATTGTTGTTTTCCGATAACATTGTTACTACGACCAGTTTCTGAAAATTGCAGTAATTAGTGCAAATCTGAGCATCATGTATATGACAATGCAAAGCACAGTATTACTTGCTATATGTTAATGTTGCTTATTTTGTTCTTTGGCTAATTTGACTGATTTATTGATGTAGTTTTGATTTGTAATTTGATGCGGTAACATAGTGGTTAATGGGCACGTGATTGCTGTAGGCAGTAACATTTCAAATCGATATTTGCTAAGGGTACCTTGTTGCTCTTGGCTAAAATCATCATGGATATTGCTCCTGGTTGCCAATGTCCTCCTATTGGTTCTTATATGCAGAACTTCCATGTTTTGTGTTGTCCTAGTTTGTGCGTACTGGACAAGGAAAACTGACATCCATGGCTATAGTAGAGCAGGGTATCTCTTGGTTTTTTCTTTTCAGAATGATATGGTTGATTTACTCATACAGCGGTAGACAGATAGTTAGGTATTTATTGATACGGGAGCATGGTGCTTAACATATTAATGGGCACATAGCTGCCATAGGCCTGTGACATTCAAATAGATGTTGGCAGTTTGGTGTTGGTCAGTCATCTGACTACCTGAGGCATGTGGTGCTTGTTTTACTTCTTGAGTATCCATGTATAGCGCCATATCAGTATATCGTGCTATTTTTCCCACATCCTTGTGTAGGCTCCTATTCTGAGCATGCTGATTCGTATATCCTACAGAAGTAAAATGAGATGCTGGCAAATATTGCCCGAACAGGACTACTTTCTAGAGGATCGCTGTTTTTTTTCCTTGAATAAGTTTTCTGATGAATTCCTATTTTTCGCTTGTCTACTTGGAATGGAATGTGCCAGTACCGGTCCATTCCAGCGTACTGGAGGTCAACAGTTCCATTTCATCACAAACTTATCTTTTTGAAAATGAATTGTGAAGTATTTTTAGCTTCTAATACACACTAGTAGTATCTGCTAGTTAGAAATTATAAGCATTATGCTACTGTATTCTCTTTGTTGCTATTCAAGTGAGTTGTGTTCCACCTTCCCTATTGGATTTATTTTTGGAAAAAATCAGTAGTTTTGTCTATATAAATATTTTGTTTTCCCCCAACTAGTGCAATCATAAATTTGCAATACCAGGTGCTGATGTTAACCTGGTTACTGATGGTGGCCGAACTGCTCTTCATTATGCTACGAGTAAAGGGAGGCTTAACATAGCTGAAAAACTAATAGCCCATGGTGCTAATGTCAACAAGAAAGACAAGGTTTGTATACTTTCAACAATTTAAAATAATGTGCAAATGGCCTTCTTTGGTGGTGAAACTCACATCCAAAAAAGAGTAAACATATATTTGAGTTTCATGTAATGACTGAACATAGGTTCAATGCCCCAGCTCCTGGGCAGTCGATATCTATGAGTTTTTGGTTCTATTCTAAGTAGATCTTTTTGGTGACATTGAAACTTTGCTAGTTTTGAGTTTGAGATGGAAAATATGGGTCTGTAAATGTTGAAGCTTTTTCTGTCCTGAGGTAATGCAACAGGCAAGGCCAAGATCCCTTGAATTCTTAAAATCATCAATATAAAATATAATATTTCACAACATCTAATATTTCTTGTGAGCATTTGGTTTGCCATGGTTCATTTGTTGGCCTATCCTTGGCCTCTATACCAGTTTGGACAAGAAATAATAACAGGGCAAATTTATGTGGGTGACTCAGAGATGTGCTAGATCTCTCCCCTGCGTGCCCTAAAATATGTTGCTTGTTGTTATGCTATCGCATATGTCTCTACATTGTGCATCATCGTACACTTGCAGTTGGGAGCCAAACTGATTTGCTAAACATGTGAAGCTCAACTGCCTTTCAGTTTGGCTGCACACCCTTGCATAGAGCTGCCAGCACAGGAAATGCGGAGCTGTGTGAATTCCTCATTGAGGAAGGCGCTGAAGTTGATGCTGTTGACAAGACAGGACAAACACCTCTTATGCATGCTGTTATATGTGAGAACAAAGGGGTATGTTTTTCTGGCTTCATTGCATCAAATCAAATTTGTTGATATGCATGCAGATATGGTAATTTTCATGTCTTGCTCGCGTGCATCTGTGAAGTAACTAGTAACATTACCTTTTCCGTGGTTCTGCTTATTTATTTAATGATTTGCTGTGTTCCAAAATGCATCTTGAATGCCCATCTATGTTGCTGTTGACACTTATGATGATTATAGTCTTTTGAACATGTTTTTAACTGGATAGACCAATTAGTTTATTGGTGGGTCACTGCCTTCTGAGTTCTGAATATCATGGAGTTTTTTTTTTTATTTATTTACTTGGAAGTTTGATTGAGTGTAGACTTGACTGATTTCTAGGTTGCTCTATAAAGATTTTGCCTAAATGCCTATATAGATTTTTACTAAATTTTGTTCCTACAATTGTATTCCAGGTTGCTCTTCTGCTAATTAGACATGGTGCTGATGTTGATGTTGAGGACAAGGAAGGCTACACTGTCCTTGGCCGAGCATCGAACAGCTTTAGACCTGCACTTATCGATGCAGCCAAGGCAATGCTTGAAGGTTGATTTGGTTGCTCAAAGATAATGGAAAGTGTGATACGAGAAACTGTTCTGAGTCAAAGTGTTAAGCTTGTTTTGGTGTAAACAAAGGGGCTTTCTACAGAATCAGATTGACCCTGTTAGAATTTTGTCTTTTTATTGCCCTTTTTGGATTTCTTTAACTTGAGACTAACATATCATCAGCTAAGGTTTGGCTCTCCCAATCCCTTTTTTTGTGTGTGTATGTTCACATGTTGGCCTTTAGTTTCTCCCGGTGTGCTCGATGACAGTCCTTGAGTGGCAACTGGCAACAAATTTCCTTGCCTTGTTAGCTTTAAGCTAACCTTCAGATGTACTGGCTTGTTAAACAGCATCGTCGTTGTCCACAAATTTCCTGAAGTTTTCTGTAGTGCTCGCTGCACACTACTTAATTTGGTGTGCCCATTGTTCATGGTTGGCTCGGTACTCGGCTTAGGTTCAAGCTGAAAAAGTGCTGACTGCAACTGAATCACCGGACGAGCGCTATCCGTGCCGTGGTGACCGCAGACACAGCATTGCAAACAACAAAGCGTGCAGCGTGCTTTTGTTGATGCCACATAATTAGGCTTCATTGACGCGTGCCCGAACAGAACACCTACTTATGGGTCCACGGCCTCACTCTAGTGTGTGTGTCCATGACTCTATGATCACGGCGCAGCATCTGCGATTCCTTCCGGTGACGGCGGGCCGAATTTTTTTTTCAGCCCTTTTTTTTTTTGAAAGATTTTCACAAATATGCCCCTGTCAGACCTCGGCGCTGTGATAATTGACGTCGAGCTTATACGTCTCGGTGCCAATTGCTTTGACGCCGAGGTCTAAGGTCATTTTCTGCGTGTCGTTGACGTGGCTGCTTATGTGGCGCGGACGTGGCATGAGCTCGGCGCCGTGG